AAGCTTGCTCTTTTGGGGGCTTGATTGTGACGTAGAACCTGTTGTCGGTGTTTCGAGGGAAATCCTCCAGCCTTCAACGACAACAGTTCATCAAACTCGGCTTGGCTCAGTCAGAAGCACCGCTAAAGCCTCCGTCATCCAGGTTAAATTTCTGGAGGAGTTTATGTGCTCACAGAGCTGGATGCACCTCTGAAAGGATGTAACGTTAGTGGACTCAGACACGACCCTGAACGTAACGACGCTGTTTTTCAGTCTTCATAAAGCACATAAACACTGTTATTTTCTTCATAAAATCCATGTTAGCCATTTAGCTATGAAGCTAAAGTCTTCGGGCAGACAGAAGCCCTGCCCATCACGCGAACCTGCTTCTGTTCTGAAGTGAATTTGACGCGCGAATGAAGCGAGTAAACTCAAATGTTCACGCGGCTATTTACGCGCGAATAGCGCGATTTATCCGCGCGTTCCGCGTCTGGTGTGAACACAGCATTAGACCCCAGAGGGTTAAAGCTAAGAGGGCAAATGAGGGCAATTTTTACTCACCGAGTAACAGCAAAGTTCATGGATGACAACTCTGTTAGAGAAGGTTTCATTGTGCGATTCAATACAAAGAGTTCTTTCTCTGTGATTCAGAGAGTTTTTCTGAATGAAGTAGACATAATCCACACCTGCAATCTACACACACACAGAATATAATATTTATTTGTATATAAAATTACAATATACACAAGCAATACACAAAAACAAAATAGAGGATTTGGAGGTCTCCATTTTACCCGTTTAAGGAGTCTTGGTGCATCCACATCAAGTTTACACCTCCTCTCAATCTTATTAAATGAACCATCTTCACTGTTCTCTTCACTGATCACATCACTGTCCACAAACATGGGGATCAGATGACAGGTGGGAAATCTCCTCTCATATGCCTGAGAAATAAAAAAAATAAAAAAAGACATAAAACTAGCTCATTTACATGGAGGAAAAAAACTTAACTATGCTGCAACCTCTGTGCCACAGGCTTTATAGAGGTAATCTCAACCTTTATTATCCAATGTCCTTCATCCAATGTTTTTTTACATTTCAGATTAAAAGTCCAAAATAATGAATTAAGCAATAATTAATAGTTAATTTTTTCACCATTAAGCATTAGTTAAAAACAAAATCACTAGTAATTAATGGGTTTCCAATCATTTTATACTGTCCAAACCGTATATTATATTGATCTCACCCCACCCCTAAACCCAACCATCACATGAGACTGTGTTCAGCTTTACTCTGATTAAACTCATTCTGTAGGATTTACAAGCATTTTGAGAAATGAGGACGTCACCAATGTCCTCATATTTCACCTCCTTTTTGTAATACCTGTGTCATTCCAATATAATTATACAGATTTGTGTCCTGATATGTCACAAAAACACGCACACGCACACACACACACACACACACACACACACACACACACACACACACACACACACACACACACACACACACACACACACACACACACACACAGTAGCTGACTCCGATTAGTCAGCTTGTATTTTTGTTTATCGTTTTATATTTCATTATTTAAATGTGTATTTCTTTGTTTCCGTTTGGCTTTAGTGGGAGGTCACAAGATTCTCTTTGATTGATTTAACCTTCGAGAGTTTGTATGATCACTCAGCATAGCGAGATCCCAATGCAAGCTCCTGCTTATTCTACAGCTGGTTATCAGGCGAACACGGTAAACTAAATATTGTTTTGTATATTATTTATTTATTTTTAGGTCCTTTTGATTGTGTTTGTGTGAAACAATTGGTTTGTTTTTTTTTGTTTATCTTTTAGTTTTGGTGTTCAATAAAGGAAATGCATAAGGACATCAGTATGTGGAAACGTGGACTGTTTTAATAACCGGCGGGTAGCTACACACACTCTTCAGGATGCTATGGTTTTCACCATTATAATTGCAAGTATGTATTTCCATTACGCTAAATAAAGTGCATATAAACTTGAATCGGAAGCAAGATTGGACATTGTGTACATAAAACTTGTGTTGAGATGCCAAGCATTGGGATTTAGCTGCTGCTACATTAGTAAAAACTTAGTTCTCATTGGACTGATGAGCGGCTTGAATGGAATATACGTGGATCGCCATTGGTGTGGAATTCCGTATAAAATGCCCAATGTGGCTGTGATTGAGTTAGCAACGCTGACACGGACAGACAACAAGGAAGAACGGTGGGTGATGTTTGTTTAAAGATTTCATGTAATGGAACGTGAAGTTTTAGACCAAATGGAGACATGCTTTGCTGATAGTTTATGCTGGCAGTGTTGTTCATTGATGGAAAGAAAGAATCCGGTTGTGATATGGCCGGTTGATGTTGATGGTGGAAAGGTTGTTAGGGAAAACGTTGCAAATGATAACGGTGTTGTTAATGAAGTTGTATCATCAAAAACAATGAGAAAATTGACTGCAATGGGGGTGGCTTTGCTCTTTGAAAATTTGCAAAAGTCTAGAAAACAGAAGATGAGTCAAGTAAATAAAATTAAACAAAATGTAAATGATATAATTTCTCTTTAAACCAAAAATGAAACTGCACTAAATGTGGAAAAGTAAATGAAGAGATGTCAAGTATTGTGAAAAAGCAGAAGATTTGCATAATGCAATTGTGCAAATGCCAATACCCCAGGATGAGTTTGATAAGCAAACCAAATAGTTCAATGCTAAAATTGCAGAAAATCTGTGTTTTCAAAAGGAAATCACAAAATGTTTGTCTGATGCTGGAAAGGAGTGTGGATAAAGCCTGTGATGTTTCATCTGCAGTAAGCAGCGAAATAGGACCTGATGACAGCATTTCAAACATGTCTACAAACCAATCTTACTGTAGTAAAGTATTAAAATGTTCAGCAAGTACTTCAAGTTCGACCTCTACTGCAGATTAAAACAAGGGCAGAAAAGAATGTTCTTTAACATGCTGCTGCTATGAAGAAGAGACATATTTTAGGGGAGGAAGAAAAATAGACTTCACATTTAAAGTGATAGACTGTTAGAAGTAATAAAAAGGCATTATCTAATGACTCACGAGTAAAAAAAAAAAAAATCTCACTCAATGAAACCTGATTTCAAAATACATCTTCTTGACTACAATTCTACTCAAGTTGCGACGCACTGTACAACTACTAAACAAGCTGCAGGCATACAGGGGGGCACAGCTGCGGTTCAAAATAATACAGTCTCTCATTCGCAGTTACAAGATTATTCTTAGCAATCTCATGTCCATCTACAAACTGATACAGGACAAAGTATTCTGTATAACATCATGCAGCAATAGTCAAACATAACAGAAGCTTGTGCAAAGGGAGGATGTGACTTCATTACCTCCTCGAATATTTCCAATTTTTGATGAAGATACCTTAGTTTGCTACCTTCATTCAAGCTTTTGAGTATGGAATTGAAAGAAAGACCACAAATGCACAGGACTTTTTGTATTTAAAACAGTACTGTAACAGTTAAATGTTATTATTATTATTTTCTAATTTATTTATTTATTTTTTTTGCATAGTGTATTGTTTAGCATGATTAAAATCAGTATGTTGTAATCTTGCTTCCGACCTACGGAGGGCACAAATTTTCTGACTGAATAGACATTCTTTGGAAAAAAATTATAGCAAGCGTAAACTCTTTATTTTACCTGCGTGTATTGTTTTATCATCAAATAAACAAAAAACATCAAACACAAAAAAGGCATTCCAAAGTCAGAGTCTAAATAGTCTTTCTGAATAAAGTCAGTGACCGCTTATTGTTACGAAGCACTTGAGAGCGATGCAATATCTTTTCAAGGTCCAGTCACTTGTTAGGAAAGCGCCCTTTGATGCATATAGGAAAGACGTCAAGTTTCCCTCAGTTGAGTGAGATGATGTTGGCCCCAGAGAAGTTGGATAAGCTTAGTTTTGCTTAAACTCCAAGTGAAAACACAAGCCAACAGACGCATAAGGATAACAAAATATAAACAGTCCTTTCTAAAACAAACAAATTCGATATAAGTGCTTACAAACAACACATCAAATAAAGACAATTGAGTGATAACTGCAACAGTTCTCAAACATTGGACTGAATGTGAAGCCTGGTAGCGAAAGTGATACATGTACATGATACAAGTGATACCAGGCTTCACATTCAGTCCAATGTTTGAGAATTTGTTTGTTTTAGAAAGGACTGTTTATTTTTTGTTATCCTTATATTGAGTTATTAACGTAGAATTTTATATATGTGGTGTTATATTATGGATGCGTGCGCTCCATGCGCTGGGTCCCTCCGTTAGTGGCAAGACCACTGGATTTCAATGCCAATAGTCGGTCGGCGAGTAAATGAATATGATGAATGAAAACACACAGGCATGTGCGTATAGACATACCTTGTACTGCTGTACAGTAACGTGTCATTTGTTTGTTTTGGTTGTCCTAATTTTAATAGGTTTCGTGATGATGTGATGGTGTGCTTTATCTGCATGATTCTCGCTGAAGTGGGCGGTTTGAGTGACGTTCGATTCGGGGGATGTTCTGTCGGTGGGGTTTGCATGACGCGCTGCGAGCTACTAGCCTGACAGTGGAAACGCGACATGATTGCGGCCTCACTGCTCAACCTTCCGGGCGATTGGCCTGGCCTGGCCCGATAGTGGAAATGTGGCTATTGAACCTTACAGAAATTAAGCAAAAAACCATCAGATGGGATCGCGAGATGCCACAAACTCCTTCACGCCAACGGTCTGAGTGGCTGCAAAATCTCAACAAGATAACCATGGTAAAAGTTGACATATACCAAGTCAAACGATTTTGAAATGATCAGGACAGCTCAATTGCATTACTTTTCAGATGCAAGTCAATGTGGATTACTTTGGACCAGTTGATGTGAAGAGAGGTCGCAGTGTTGTTAAAAGATATGGAGTTTTGTTTACCTGTATGACCAGTCGAACAGTACACCTTGCAGTAGCCTACTCGTCGTTTTATGTGCTGTCGTGGCCAAGTACTGCAGTTAAGATCTGATAATGGCACTAATTTTATTGGAGAAGAGAAATAGCTTAGAAATGCTTTAAAGAGTTTGGATCATGATAAAATTCAGCATACTTTTCTATCAGAAGGAATAAAATGGACCTTTAATATGACTATGCGTCTGGGAGAGGGTCATTTGTCTTGTAAAGAAGGTATTGCACTCTACACTTTGACAACAATGCTTGGAAGGCATTCACACTTTCTTTGTGAAGCTAAAGCTATTCTTAATGACTGTCCTATCACAAAGCTTTCTGATTATTCAAATGACTTGGAAGCAATAACGCCAAATCATATCTTGCTGTAGAGATCAAAACCGTTTCTTCCTCCAGGACTTTTCCAAAAAGATGATTTGTATATCACACGTAGATGGCGACAAGTCCAATACTTGTCTGACTTGTTTTGGAAAAGATGAATAAGGGAATATCTTCCACTATTACATGAATGTCAAAAATGGAGGAAGCCACATAGAACCTTCAATGTTGGAGACATAGTGGTCATCATGGATCCAGCAGCTCCAGGGGTTCCTGGTCATTAGGCAAAATCACTTAAACGTATCCTGATAAAAAGGGATTTGTCCGTTCTGTACAACTGAAGACAAAAACAGAATAGACCGGTTTCCAAAATCTGCCAATTAGAAAAAAAAATGGACTGATCCTTAAAGTAGTACACAAACATTTTTGGCTCCTTTGATATTTTAAGAGATTAATTGTAGTTGCACACAACAACAATTATGGGGCTGGTGTGCAAGAGCCTATGTGTTGATGTGAAATTATTTTGGGCTGTCACCACTTGGGGTGAGTGCACATAGGGTTTTTAAGTAGGTGTTTCTTGCATGAGGGAAGAAGGCTGAAGGGAGGGAATGCATAGTTACACATGCACGCATGCACGCACACACGCAAAAGTCTGGTTTGTGATCGGTAGACCTTAATTATATTAAATAATTATATTAATTAAATTAAATAATTTGAGTATTCTCGTTTATATCTGTGGATTGTCTGAGTGAAAACTGTAGTCTGATTATAATTAAAAAACAAACAATACAATTATTATTCCTTGCTCTTGATAGAACAAATGTTGCAACTTATGTCTATAATCAATAATGTTTATCCTTTGTTTTAATTAATACAGAGAAAAGTGTATACAATGTCCAATATTAAATTAAATATATTATTTAGTTTTATGCATATTGCATATTTTTTTGCTTTTTTATTTCAAGGAACTAAATGTAACATTGGCATTTGTGGCAATACAAAATCTATAATAGCTGTATTATTATTTTATATATAATATTTTGCTATTTTGAAAAATATCTAGTAAAATATTATGTACTGTCATCATAGCAAAGATAAAAGAAATCAAAAATTAGAAATGAGTTATTAAAAATATTATGTTTAGAAATAAGTTTTAAAAAAACTTTCCATTAAACAGAATTTGGGCAGGAAAAGGGTTGCTAATATTCAGGAAGGCTAATAATTCTGACTTCAACTGTATACATACAGTTATTTTCCACCATGCAAAGGAAAGAAAATAAATACAATAGAATAAAAATATGAAACAAACTGTGCTTTAAGCATCTTCACTCTAAGAAAAACACTTTAGCTACAAAAATTTTTCAATCAAGAGCAGTGGAAGGATGTTCTCCTTGTTTGATTAATGATAAAAACAGGCGGCAGCAGGAATATTTCGCGCGGTCACTTTAATGGTTTCTCTTTCACGTGTCTTTTGATCCTCGACTCGTTTGTTTATTACACAAATGAGGGTTAATGTGAATAATCAACAAACACAGCATTTTGACAACTATTTGACCATTAAAGCGCTCACGTTAAGATGACTTTAGATGTTTCGTCTCAGTGTGAAAATGAGACCGAATGCTGACCGGCCGCATGCTTCTGCGTGCCGCACACACATAAGCACGCGGTCTTTTGTGCTTTTAAGAGCAACAAATGTGTACAGCTGGAAAGGGGGCGGTATATGATGCAATAATTGTTTATCTCGATTACTGCTTTTTCATAATCGTTTGAAGCCAAAATCGAAATCGGACTTTCGATTAATTGCACAGCCCTACACCAGGAAACCCTAGGGCGAAGGTCAATGATTGACTTTGTGGTTGTATCAGCTGATCTCCGACCGTATGTCTTGGTCACTCAGGTAAAGAGAGGGACAGAGCTGTCAACTGATCACCACCTGATGGTGAGTTGGATCCGCTGGCAGGGGGAAAAGCTGGACAGACCTGGTAGGCCCAAACATACTTTGAGGGTCATCTGGGAACATCTGGCTGAACCTCAAGTCAGAGGGATTTTCAACTTTCACCTTCAGAAGAGCTTTGACAAGATTCCTAGGGAGGCTGGAGACATTGAAACAGAGTGGTCCATGTTCTCCATCTTCATTGTTGACGTGGCCATGAGGAGCTGTGGCCGTAAAGTCTGTGGTGCCTGCCACTGGAGCAATCCACAAACCTGGTGGTGGACATAGGAAGTATAGCATGATGTCAAGCTGAAGATGGAGTCCACCAGGGCTTGATTGGCTTGCAGGATTCCCGAGGTAGCTGATGAGTACTGACAGGCCAAGCGTGTTGCAGCCCGGATGGTTGTGGAAGCAAAAAATAAAAATAAATAAAAAATCTGGGCAGGGAGGAGTTCAGGGACACCATGGAGGAAGACTATCGGTTGGCCCCAAAGATATTCTGGCAAACCGTTCAGTACCTCAGGAGGGGACACCAGCTCCACATCAACACTGTTTACAGCAGAAGAGGGGAGCTTTTGACCTCAACTAGGGATGTTGTTGGACAGTGGAAGGATTACTTCGAGGATCTCCTTAACTGACATGTCTTTAATCGAGAAAGCGGAGACTGGGGATGCAAGGGTGGACTCACCCATCACCCAAGCTGAGGTAGTTTGCAAGCTCCGCGGTGGCAAAGCATGCGGCGGTGGATGAGATTCATCCTGTGTATGTTAGGTCTCTGGATATTGTGGGGGGTTCATGAGAGTATGCAGAACCAGTTCACATGTGTTTTGTGGACTAGGAGAAGGCATTCGACCGTGTCCTTTGTGGCATTATGAGGAGGGTGCTCTGAGAGTATGAGGTCAGAGGTCCTCTGTTAAGGGCCGTCTCGTCTCTGTATGAACAGAGTGGGAGTTTGGTTCGCATTGCCGGCAATAAGTCAAACTTGATTTCAGTGCATGTTGAACTTCGGCAGGGCTGTCCTTCATCAACAATTCTGTTCATAATTTTTATGGACAGAATTTTAAAGTGCAGCCTTGGGCTGGAGGGGGTCCAGTTCGGAGAGCCCAGGATCTCATCTCTGTTATTCGCAGACAATGTTGTTCTGTTGGCTTCATCAAACATGGACCTTCAGCATGCACTGGGGCAGTTTGCTGCAGCTGGGATGAGAATCTGCACCTCCAAGTCCGAGGCCATGGTGCTCCACCAGAAAAAGGTGGTTTGCCATCTCTAGGTTGGAGGAAAGTCCTTACCCCTGGTGGAGTTCAAATATTTTGGGGTTTTGTTCACGATTGAGGGAAGGATGGAATGTGAGAATGGTAGATGTACAGGTCCGTTGGGGTGAAGGAGCTGAGTGAAAGGCAAAGCTCTCGATTTACCGTTCAATCTATATTCCTACTCTCGCCTATGGTCATGAGCTTTGGGTCATGACTGAAAGGACAAGATCTCTGATACAAGTGGCCGAAATGAGTTTCCTTCACAGCCTGGCAGGGCGAACCCTTATAGACAGGGTGAAGAGCTCAGTAACCCAGGAGGAGCTCGGGTAGAGCCGCTGCCCCTCCACATTGATAGAAGTCAGCTGAGTTGGCTCACGCATTTGTTATGAATGCCTCCTGGTCGCTGACCTAGGGAGGTGTTCCAGGCATGTTCCACCAGAAGGAGACCTCGGGGAAGACCCAGGACACACTGGAGGTACTTTGTTTCTCGGCTGGCCTGGGACCGCCTTGGGATCCCCCTGGAGGAGCTGGAGGAAGTGTCTGGGAAGAGGGAAGTCTGGGGTTCTCTCCTAAGACTGCTGCCCCCTTTACCCGGAAAATCGGTTCAAAATGAATGAATGAATATAATATTTTGTTAATATGTTCAGTTTTATTATTTTTTAAATATAGCAATCAGCCAGGTATAGTAATACATAACATTTTGAAATCAGTAAAACTGCTAAAATATTACATAAATACTTTTTACAAATTCTAAATTGTGGCCCTTAGCATTTTATGTGGTTTTAGGGCGCTTTCACACCTGTGTATCGATTCAGTTGTTCCGAAACAGAGATTACAATTGTTACATTGTTGCTCTTTGCTCTTGGAGCGGTTCGCTTTCACACTGCAAAGTTTATAATCGGACCAAAAGAGCTAAAACAAGTCACGTGCGAGGAAACTCTCTTCACTTTGGTCAGAACCGACTTATTTGAGAACCGGGAGTGAGACGCGAGATTACCGGGAGATCATCACTGGTTTGCGGGCATCCGGAGACTCGCGAAACTTCCCGACATACTCATAATTCTCTCTTCATATAGCCGTAAGCCTATTACATATCCATAAAACACTGTGATATAACCGCGCTGGGATCGGATCGCTTTCTCACTGCAATCGATCCGCTCCAGGGTTCGTTTCAATCGACCCGAGACCACCTCATTTAAGCGATCTCGGAGCGATTACTTTGGCGCGGAACAGAGCGCGATTGCCCTGTTCACATATGCCAATCGAACCGCGCTAACTGGGCAAACGAGATGCGTTCCGAAACAAAAGTGTAGGTGTGAAAGCACCCTTAATGTGCCCCCCAGGCCTTTAAACATGAATACCACTGAGCTGTATGGAATGCCTTGTGGGACTGGGATGCAATGTAAATGTGCTGTTGAGTGTTAAGACTGTGGTTGATACTTACTGCCATGACAAGTTCAAAAGGATGTTTGTACACCCTCACAGGGGACTGATACTTTTGCACCATGATGGAACCTTTGGCAGTGCTGAAGTATAAACTAAAGAAAAAAAAACAAGAACACAATCATTTTATGTAATGATACAAAGATTTATCAGAAGTAGTAGTACATCACCATAATGTTGCCAGAAAAGCATAATTTTACATTTTTTTATTATTCATACACATTTTTAGTTCTAAAACTACGTCTATGTATTAGGGTTGTGAAGATGAGGAAATTTCCCCACCGGTTAATCGACATGTGACGACACCGGTAATACCGGTATCACCGTGGGGGTGGGTGTTTCCTCTTTTTTTCTGCTTTTAAATAACTTATAAATGTGTGCGTATAATACTTTCACTTTCAGTTTTGCAGGAATTGCCAACACGCACAGCATAAGAGCGCTATACCCAATACACTGACTGGCAGGATGTGCTGAACAAACTCCTCAGGACCAGTTTTATTTGTTTTGCTATTTGCGTGTTGTTCCTTTTCATAGTACCCTTTATTTGTAAAATCTCTCAAGTTAATATTGGCTATCGGGTAACAATCTCCCTCAAAGATATTGGGGTTCAATAAGGTGGTGCGCAGTATGACAACACCTCCCTGTAAGTTTACACACTGCATAGACTACAGCTCTGGTGTGTTATGAACTGCATGTTTTAAATGACAGCGAGACATGCTACATTTAGTTTTTCTTGGAAAATATACATTATAACCCAGTACACAATAAAATAATATTTTTTGAATGGCTTGCCTATTGGCAGCGTAAAACCGTTAAGCTTAAATAGGCTTAGTACATTTTTAATAATATCAAAAAACATTGATACAAACTAGCCACCCTTTGATTTTTTTTTTCGTTTCTGTATATTTTATCAAACGAAAAATGCAATGAATTGTTTATTTTGGTTTTCATTTTATTAGAATTATTATTAACAATTATTATTCACAACTTTTACATAACATTGGCTCTGATTGGGTTAATCTAACAAATAGGCTTTTTGGCTCAAGGACATTTATGCCTGTTAATTTCAGTGCTGTATTTTGACAGATTTCCCAAAGGCTTCAGCTATTCTACCTGTCAGTTGGTACCAGCCCCAGTTTTGCGACTTGACTTGTGTGGCGTCTGTATCATTGTCTGGATAACAGTGAGAGAGAGATAAGATCAGACCTTAGATTCGATGTGTGTCATAGTCACTTTACTGCAATTTTGTAATATTGGATCATCTTTATTAACTTTCATTTGATTAAATGCCAAAATACTGCCACACATTTCATTTCTTGCCAAAATAAAACATTGCATTTAATGCTGAAAGAAGGTCAACCAGATTAACATATCATACCGCATTCACAATAGCCTCATTTATTTAATTAGGCTATAATGTCCTTGACCACCACCAAATAAGAATGTTCAACTGGACATTACTTTAGTTCTATGTTCAGAGTCGCTGCCTCAGTCAATCAAATCCAGTCAAATAAAGATTACAGCTCAGACTACAGGAGTTTTAACCCGATTTATACCCGATTTTCACCTTCTGTTAAAAGGAAATAATTAAGTTTACTACAGCTCATAAGCAAATAAACACTTAGTTTATGTTGTCATATTTTCATTGTCAATTTTTTTGTTTCTAGTTTAGTAAACAAAAATAAACTTATAAGCATAATTTAAAATGATTATTTATATAAATATTACGGAATGATAGGGTATATTTTACATATTAGGCAACTAAAGCACAACAGCAGCCTGTTTTTTGTTCATTAGATATAATCAGGGCCGGAGTGGGACTCCTTTTCAGCCCTGGAGTTTCAAGCCTTATACCGGCGCACCTCAGTTCACATTGGACTATATTAAAATAAGGTAATTTCCAATTCAGTATCTAATTACACTATCACGTCTTTTTCAAGAAAACAGCTGCTTGAAAACTTCAAATGTTCCAACAACCTTTGAGTTTTATGTCTTAACAATAAAAATGAAAAAAAAAAGAAAGATTTATTCAGGTGAGGATCGAACACAGATCGATGGCGTTGCAACGCAACGTGCTGACCACTGGACTACAATAGCGCAGTTACACTTGTGTGGCCGGAACGATAGTTAATACTCATCATTACCCTGCAGGCTACATTTTGCTCATGGGGCTGCAAGACAATAAATAATAAGAGCGAAGCTGCGGCAAAATAATGAATAAAAAGTGCGAGGCTATGGTCAAATAAATAAATAAATGAAAAAAAGTGTGACTAGGACTGCTGGCGGCTCCGTTTGCCATGCTTGAGAGGAACAGTCTGCGCAAATGGAGTACAGAGTGGGTGTCATCGACTACAGCTCTCATCTGATTGGCTGAAAAGTACGAGTTGCCCTGATTCTGCCAGGAAAGTCTCAAAAATACACACACTCGTATCCAGGGGGAGTCGTACATGAAAGAGGATTTGCACATTGTCATTCAGGATGAACTCGCAAGTTTTAAACATTCAAAACTTTTTGTATACTCTTATACATTTGCAAATGGTGTTTTGCATTTGTGAACGTATTTTATGAAAATTTATTTTTATATCGTGCACGTGAATTTTTTTTGTGAATATAAATAAATATTTTACGCACATGAATTTGATTTTATGCATGTGAATTTGGCTACGCATGTGTACATCGTGTCTTTTGCGTGAATCACTTTTGAGTCTTTTCTGACTTTTCTGACATACTAAAGTGTCACTACTAATAAATTAAGAAATAATGTAGGCCTACGTGTCACTAATGTCATGCCACTGATGTCAGTAGGCCTACATGCCACTAATGTCAGTAGGCCTACATGTCAGTGATATTGTGACGTGCCAGTAGGTGTCAGTATAAGCACATTAAGGCTATAGTTTTTCTTTGCTTTAATATTGAAAAATGATTAGGCGAATGAAACCTGTTATCTTAAATACAAATATGTTATGTAGAGCTGGGCGATATGGCAAAAAAAATTATCACAATAATTTTTTTCATCAGTCGATATCGACATTTATCACGAGAAATGTAAAATCTTTATATCTATCAATTATATAAGATTTTCAGCATGCCAATGGCTTTGTGCAGCTGATTTAACACATTTAGTGAAATGTTTTAGCTGTCTGACAATATAAATAATAAAATAATGAACAAAAGAACCATCTTAATTCAGCATTTACTTGTTCAAGTTTTCAACAACCAAAGACATTACAAGTTATTGGATATTATTGTTCAACATCAGAAAAAAAATAAACCCGATTTGGAACAATGTGAGTTAATAGTCACAGAATTTTCAGTTTTGATTGAACTCTCCTTTTAATGGTGAGTATGGTAAATTTAGGGTAAAATATACTTTAATGTATTTTATTTAGGGATGCTAAAGATTACTTGATCTATTGATTTCAATAACGCTTTAATTGATGGACCTTATCGATGACTGATTAAGCATGCATGTAAAGGTGTAGTTAGGCTTTGTGCTGAGACGCATCCACGCATTACATAATCAAGTGTGTGCAGTTTACCTTACTTATGCTGTCACCCTCTTGACATCCCATATTGCGGGTCGCATAAAACCTTGTTATGCGCATATCGCCGATATATCCACACGTGTTTTAACCAAATTTGTCTGACAGACTAGCACGAATAGGTCTATGCAGACTCTCATTTTACAATGAGATGGGTTGAGGGGGGGGTTCTTGTTAGGCACGGCTTTCGAAAATGATGACATGAGCCTCTGCTGGGTAGCTGCGCAGGTTTGCCAACACTTGTTTATGTCTGTAATTTCTTAGCATCTTCATAAGGGTGGTCTTGTTTTAATTGGTGAAACAGGCCATGGTGTTGCCTGCTTTTAATGACACGAGTCGTCTAAGCAGTTTGTGGTGCACATTGCTCTGTTTTGTGTCGGATAGCGAAGAAGTAGCTCATGAAGTCTAGTGACGTTTCTTGTCAACAATGTCTGTGACTCTGACCTTTTTTTACCTTATTTCTTTCTTACTCCTTTCAGTGCAACTAACACTGTATGGCTGTAAACTTGTACGGCAAGCGGCAGTCGGAAGGGCAGGCTGCAAAATGCTTGCGCAATGTTTTGCATAGTGCGTAAATATTATCGAGCAATTATCAAACTGTCATTATCATTTTATCAAAAAATTGTATATCGTGATAATTATCGATATCGAATTATCGCCCAGCCCAAATGTTATGTATTTACAACATGCATTTTATTATAACTTTATTATAATATAACTTTTTAAAGCATATCATTTAAAATACCTTAAAATTAAAATTAATTAATTATTAAAATTAATAAATTTTTTAACAAACAGAGAAGTCCATATTCTAGCCAACAAAGGAACCGCCACAATGCAATAATATAAGGCACAACAGATAAGCATGTCACAATAAATTTGATATCCACTGACATGTACTGTCAAATGATTTAATATTAAGTATAGTAGCAACAAATACCGGAAGTATAACTACGAATACATAAAATAAATGTTTTTAAATTAAACATCATGGAGTAGTCCAGCATATAAACTAACTTGTGACACAATAAATCATGTTAAAAATTGCATAATAATTAAATATGGTCTTGTGCGTGTTAATTGGTGTCATTTAGCTTCGCCGAGTGTCGATGTCACTGCAGCGACATGTAGCACCACGCTCTGAGTGACACAGGTCACTACCATAAACTGTAAAAGATATGGACGTAGTATCCTTGATGTCACCCATAGATTTCTGAACACTGCAAAAGAAGCTACAAGTAGGCCCCACCAACCATCACCATTTTGTTCGTACATCATCGCACCCACAGTGGGATACCAAACAAGGTCAAAGAGGCGGACAGTGAGCGGAGCTACAGACACCTGCTGGCATTTTGCTTGGACCTGGCTTAAGCAGATTTTACTTTGGGAGAACGCTTAATACTTTACTACATGCGACACGTTTGTGTTCTGACCACGTGTTTGGTTGTGTACACTATATTAATATAGTGTTTTGACTTTTAAAAACACTGATATAACACACTGAGCCACTATGCATTGTTCTTATGACATTTTTCTACAGGAGGAAAACGTGAATTACTTCCCAACACTTCAGATATAGTCCATGTTAGTAAATGCAAGATTTATTAGGTCCAGGCATAACACTGTCTGAACATGCTTCAGATGACTGTTCTATAACCTACAGCTAATCAATCTGTCAGATTCTGGAGTGCTTTACATGTCTAAAGAAAAATATAAATGATGCTAAATAAAACAAATACGTTTATAGAGATGGTATACAAGTATATACTTTCAATCACCTGGGAAACTTAATCAGTTTGTGAGCACAATTAAATGCACGCAGCATGTTATATCATCTGATAATTGTAGGAAATCATCGAGAGGCAGTTTTAACATGAAGTGACACGACATCTGATGTATAGATGCCACTAGAACGTGCCACTGAGTGTAGTGACACTTCCGGTGACATACCAGGTTTTCACTGTCATGCGTCACTCGGTAGTGGCATGTGTAGTGACCTGTGTTGCGCTGCATGTCACTGAAGTGACATCGACACCCGGCGAAGCTTAATGACATTAATCAACACGCACAAAACCATATTTAATCATTACGCGACTTTTAACCTGATTTATTTCATCGCAAGTTAGTTTATATGCTGGACTACTCCATTTTCATTTGAAAGCATTTATTTTATTTATTTTCGTACGTAATGTTTAGTCATTTGATAGTACATGTCAGTCAAATTTAGTGTGGCATGCTTATGTAAGGGAGGGGTTACACTTATCTGTTGTGCTGTATATTATTGCATTGTGGCAGTTCCTTTGTGGGCTACAATATGAACTTCTCTATGTTTGTTAATTCATTAATTTATTTATTATTTAACTTGTTTATTTTCATTTTAAGGTATTTTAAATAATATCCTTTATAAAAGTTAGAATAAAATTCATGTTGTAAATTCATAACATATATGCATGTAAGATAATAGGTGTCATTTGCCTAATATTTTTTTAATATTACAGCAAAGACTAACTTAAAAGATTATGTGCTTATAACGTGCTTATACTGACACCTACTGGCACATGTCACAAGATCACTGACATTACTGGCATGTGTCCCTGACATTACTGACAAGTGTCACTGACATTAGTGGCATGCACTGACATTAGTGGCATTTAGGCCTACTGACATTAGTGGCATGCACTGACATTAGTGCCATGACATGAAGTGGCATGTAGCTGCAATCACATTTAACACAGCTTACATGACAGTGAAAACTGGACTTGCCACCGGAATTGTAACTACACTCAGTGGCATGTGCCAGTGACATTGGTACTACAGATGTTGTGTCACTTCATGTTAAAACTGCTGCTGGAATAATCCCAAAAGGCAACTGACTACGTAAAGAAACGTTAACCAAAACAAAAATACAATGTATATGCCGAGCTCAGCAGCTAATTAGCCGTAATCAGTTGGGGTGACAAGACAGCGAGCAGCGAGAGCTGTCACTCAAGTGGCCATGCCCTTAATTATGCCGACTTAATATAACTTAATAAAAATTAATTGGATTATAAAATAAATAAATAAATAAATCAACCCCCTCACAGTTGTCAAGAAGTGTAATCACACCAAATATACACCACATATACATATACACCAAAGCTATCTTTTGTACCAGGCTGTAAACATGTTTTATCAGCTGTAAAAATGGCCTATTTCCCTTGCAGTCAGAAATCACCTGGACTTCCTGGAGCCAGCTCCCCAAGTGGAGTCGATGAATTGCAGTTTAAGTTACTAAATATTAGACACTACACATGTCACTACTGAGTGACACATGACAGTAAAAACCGGACATACCACCGGAAGTGTCAATACACTCAGTGGCATCTGTACGTCAGATTTCGTGTCACTTCATGTAAAAAAATGCTAGACTCAGATCTAGACTAACTACTGCACTAAGAAATAAAAATCTATGTATATGAGCTAACTTACAAAAATCGGTGACGTAAAGTAATAGAAACCTTCCTTCTATGAACTGTTGTTATTGTAGCATATCCGAAACAACTTTCTCTATTATGAAAGAATATGGTATATGTATGCTTATCTCAACATCATATATATTATAAGTAACTTAGCTGAGCTCTTCTGGTAACGCAATTAGCCGGTTAGCGCATAGAATACTTCCTGAAAACGTCCCTCACAATGACCCCATGATTTAACTGTAACGTTGATCATTAAGAAATTATACTGCTCTAAAACACCACGGTCGTTATTTAAAACAACACGTAACTATAAACGGTTTTAGGGGAAACGCCCGACGTAATGTGTTAGCAAAAATTATTAGCAGGTTTAGCGTACGTTAGTTCACCGCTAATGCTATTTAACAACAAGACGTCTAAGCATTGCATTAGTCAATAGCAAGTATACATTGATTTTATTTGAAATGTATTTAATGTGTAGTTAATTGGAAAATATACTTACAAAAACAAAGTATTCGTAGAAATTGATAAAGCCCTTTTCAATGTCAAGCGTCCGCTTCAGTTTTTAGATGCTAACGTTAAAAGGGATTTCCATGGCTGTTGTTTTGTCTCTGAGTCAAACCAGCCAGTAATCCAGATCAGACCTGGAACAGACTCACTGCTGTTGACCCTGTTCCCATAACACAACGGGTGAGAAAACACTGCTACTCCTGGCTGCTTGTATCTCCAAAATTTTTAACGCCACAATGCAACTCAGCTGCGTTAACGTCCTTCTGCGCAGGCACAAGAAGTGAAAACTACATATGCAATCACTTCTTCGTCTTCTTTGATGTTTATCGGCGGTTGGTATCCAACTACAATGGTGCATTACCGCCGCCTTCTGTACCAGAAGTGGACAGCGATAAGCAGTCCCTTCATTTTTTTAACTCTGGAAAATAGCGTTTTTTGCTTTTCTCCTAACACTGCATTTCACCGTCAAATATAATATTTCAAATATAAGATTTTTTTTCTTTGCATTGTGATGTAATTTCATATCTCATCTTTGGCTATTTATGTATAGGGATGGGCAGTATATATGATAGCCTACATGTATTTCAAATATAAAATATAATTTTGTCATTTGTATTTAATGAGTTTGTGAAAATGGGTTAAAATTTTAAATCAAAATACTTCAGTGTAGATGGGTTGCGGCTGAAAGTGCATCCGCTGTATTAAAAAAACGTGCTGGATACGTTGGCGGTTCATTCCGCGGTGGCGACCCCGGATTAATAAAGAGGCTAAGCCGAAAAGAAAATGAACACTAGTGTCTTGTATTTTTGTATTTTTGAAATACTATAAAATACTTCGTAAGGAGTCTAGATGATGACATCATAAAAATCCAGCCTCAGATTAATGGTTTCTCAGTTATTTGCCTAGGTTTGAGATCAGAACAGAAAATTTAGCAGGTGGTCAATGCTTGGAGTATGGATAGAAATTATGCAACAGACACAAAGCAAATAGCAGACAAATAACTTGGGTATATTTGGGAGCAAGTCAACAATCACTGAAAATAGTATACTGCACAATGACCAGTAATATATAATGGCAGTATAGTGTGCATTTCAGCATCAGCATCCTTGCTTAGGAAAGAAGATTAAATAAAATATCATCCCTTAAGAACAGGATAAGGAGCCTTCAGCACATGAAAAACATGATTTATGGAAATTACTTTATGATTTAAATTATTTTAGTTTAAATTAAATTTAGTTTATTTAAATTATGTAAACCAAAAAAAAGTCTTCCTATATTACCCTTTTAAAATATAAGACTGTTAAGAGAAGGTGCCAATTTTACTAAGCACCCAATGGATGAAAACAATTAACAATTAAGAGATATTGTACTATATTCCAACTCAATATCTGCATTAAATGGTTTTTACAGTGATTAAAGAGATTGAGACAGGAATCTCTGTATGAAATTTGTGCAAATATTATTTAAAAATATAAAAAGAAAAGTTTATGAATACCTCCTCATGTACAGGGGTAAAAGTGAATGAAGTGGCAAAGAAAGCTCAGAGAAACACTGTTGCTGTCAAATGTTGTTTACTTCACTAAGCCAGTTTAATGGTTTGAAGTTTAAAGGTTTGCGAAGAAATGCCATGTAAAAGTATGTTGTAGTACAGCCTGAGACCCCCTTTTTCCCCGAAAAATGTTCTAGGGCCCCCTTTACATTTAATGACATATTCGCTCATATAAGTTTGCAGTAATGATGACAAAAAATATTGTTTTCAAACTAACTGTATATTTATTACGATATCTAGATATGTTAATGCAAAAATAATAGCCTAATGTCTCCTAGAGATGGGTTGCAGCTGGAAGGGCATCCGCTGCGTTAAACATGAGCTGGATAAGTTGGCGGTTCATTCCGCTGTGGCGACCCCTAATTAATAAAGGGACTAAGCCGAAAAAATGAATGAATGATTGAATAATAGCCTAATGTAAAATATGAAAGCAAAACATCAGTGGGCCATTTGTAACTGAAAAACGTAAGCCTTTGGTCTTTAAATTCACCCTATTTGAAATTCAATAACAAAAATATCAGTATTCACACTGGTTAAGAAAAAAATAATAATAATATAGGCTGTTATCATTCAACACTTGCATGTTTTTTGTTATGCTCTATCAATAAGAGGATTGCTGGACTTCCGGTGGCGCGCGCTGCAAGATGGCTGCTCGGCACTGAGCTCCTTACAAATACCTCCGATTATAACATTTTTTTTTTCTTCAAATTGAGGATAAATTCCTAATTAAAATAGAACATCAACTCCTTCTAAAGAATGGCAACTAGTAAAAAGACGATGTCTCCTCAAAAACAAGCTACAGGAAACAAACGACTAAAAACGCTTGATGACGACGTGGCCTCCATCGTCAGCCATGCAATCGAAGCGCAGCAGGAAGCCTTGCGTGAAATGGTCTTCGGCATGTTAACAGAGGCAATAAAGTCCGCTCTTGCTCCTTTCAATGACTACATTAATGAAAATGGAACTGTTCTTCGAGCTATAAAAGAAGAAATAGGCTCTCTGGGTAAGAACATGGCGTCGATAACATCAAAAGTAGATGATCTACAAGGAAACCTTCGCAAAACTAAAAAAGATACAAATCATTGCTTGTCTCAGCTTGACCAAATACAACGAAAATGCACGGATTTGGAAGATCGCTCACGACGCAACAATATCCGTCTGGTCAACTTACCTGCGGGAATGGAAGGAGACGACCCTATCGGCTTCCTTCAGAAAACGCTCCCTAAATGGATCCCGGACCTGTCAGGGCGTTCAAATCCAATAGAGATTGACAGAGCTCATCGAGTCTACTCGAATTCTAACTCAAACAGATCACGAGCGATGATCTTTCGACTCCTTCGTTATCCGGACAGGCAGGCCATACTTCAAGGTGCACGTAAAGCAAAGCCCACACTACCCGGAGGAGCGCGTCTGGAATTCTATGCAGATTACAGCGCCGCGACCGCACAGAAGAGAAAAGCGTTCTCGGCCGTCAGATCCAAACTCCAACAAAAAGGTGCGGAAACTTTTCTAATTTACCCAGCAATACTGAAAGTCTCATTCAAAGGCCAAAAATACTCATTTGAGACGCCGGATGAAGCCGAGAAATACATCGAGGGACTGGAGCGAACAACGTCAGCGCCGGCTCGCAGGTCTTTATATCCTCAGCTCCAGGAGGCAATGGAGGAAACCGATTAAGGAGACAATATTGGACTTAGCAACACTTAAATGACATGATTAGAAACATTTCTTAGCCCCCTAAATGACCAAATTATACGGTAAACAACTATTACTATTAATATTATTATTTTGTTTTATTGGTGTTTAAAGTTACGGTTAGATATTCATGATACTAATTTTATTTATTTAATACTATTTATTTTATTATTATATATATATTTACTATTATTTGTTATGTTATTTATTTATTTTAGTTATTTATTTTATTATTTTTTATTTATTTATTTTTATTGATTTATTTTAGTTATTTTTTTTTTGTCGACAAGGTGGGGGCTAAGTTTCTTGGTTTAAGATTGGAACAGCCCGAATTCAAAACTTGTTACATGTTTAAATAGAGTTGATGCTGATACACTGATGGTTGTAACGTTCCTCAGCTGTTTAATATCAAGGAGGTACTGGAAGGCGAATAGTGTTAAGACATTGCCTCGCGATCGCCACAGACGCTCGTTATTGAGGGGGTTAGGGAAAGGGTGGGGCACTCAGGAATAAAATACGCAGAAATTTTTATATTCTTTTCATATATATCCACGAAATTTCTATGTTTAAATTGCACCTACTACTACAATCTTTACATGTTTATTTGTGAAAGCTTTATGTTCAGAGATTATGGTTAATTTGAATATTATGTCTCTTAACGTCAGAGGGTTAAACTCTCCTAGTAAACGGACTAAATTTTTAGATTATCTTCGCAGGAAAAACATAGACGTTGCACTTATCCAAGAAACCCATCTAAGGATAGCAGATGTCCAGCGATTACAAAACAAACACTATATTCCTATAGTATCTTCAGGTTATAACTCTAAAAAGAGAGGGGTGGCAATATTATTTAAAAGAAATCATACTTTCAGTATTGAAAATTTAGGATCAGACAATAATGGTAGAATGGCATATTGTTGTACTAATATAGGAGGAAAGAAGCTAATGTTTGTCAATATTTATGCCCCAAACTCTTATGATGCTCCTTTTTTCCCAGACATTACAAAAACTCTTTTAGCCTATAATGAATATTCACTTATTATTGGAGGAGACATGAACACGGTAATGGACACCGTTTTAGATCGATCAAATCCTTCAATCCCAATGATACAACCCCAGTCTTCAAAAGCATTAAATTGGTTTACTAAAGACCTAAACGTGAGTGACACCTGGAGGTTGCTCAACCCTAATGTGAAAGAATACACTTACTTCTCACCAAGACATAAATCCTATTCAAGAATAGACTACATCTTACTATCTCCTATGATATTTTCATGTGTAAAGAACATTGAATTTCTACCACAAAGTATTTCTGACCACAATGCAATAACAACATCGCTGCAATTTAGTACACTGACCAAACCCTCTAGATGGAGATTCAATACTCTTTTACTCAAAAACGAGGAATATATTTCACAACTGAGATCAGAATTAACTGAATTTATTAGCATTAATCAAAATTCTGTTTCCAACCAAGACATGTTTTGGGCCTCTATTAAAGGTTTTTTAAGAAATAATGCAATTAGTTTTTCTGCAAGGCTTAAAAAGAATTACCTTCAACAAATATCATCATTAGAAAAAAGGTGTGGAGAATTGGAGCGGGAATTAGAAAAGAAATTTGCAACAGAAACACAACAAAAATTAAAGGTAGAAAGAGCTACACTTAATGACCTGCTTAGACAAAGAACCGAATACTTGATGCACATCACAAAACATAAATACTACATAGATGGAAGCAAACCGAGCCGACTCCTTGCACTCACTTTAAAAAAACATGAGCAACGCTTTAATATAAATGCAATAAAAAACTCTGAACAGGTTCTCACCTCAAACCCCTCAGATATTAACAAAACATTTAAGAAGTTTTTTGAAAAATTATACTCTTCAGAAATACAAACTAACACGGATCATTTAGAAAATTTTTTTGAGTCTTTAAACTTAACAAAACTTTCTAAGGAAGATGCTGACAACCTAGATTCAGAAATAACTCTAGATGAATTACATAATGCAGTTAGGGATTTACATACAGGGAAATCTCCAGGTATTGACGGCATCCCTGGCGAATTATATCTAGTACTATGGGACTTACTGGGACACATTTGGCTA